GTCTTAACATCTATCTCCCACAATTTTCTTCTCCTGTTTATGTTGAAGTTTCACATGTAAGTGTAAGATCTCTACTCCACCCTTCCATTTATCCTAATGTCTGCCTTGGCTACAAAAGTATAAACCTTATAGTTAGTCTTCAAGGTGGTTAACTTGCAGTACTGCATTGTACAAAAGAAACGAAGGTCTTTCTGCATTGATATTTGTGCTGGTAAAAAGGGCTTAGTGATTAGAGCAGAATGGATTCCCTCTTTCTGCAGACCCACAGGCTTTCTCATTATGTTCAGGGTGAAATCAAGATCTGTTGAAAATAAAGATGATGTTTCCCAGTAAGGGAAAGGTTGAAGAGAATTTATTTGCCTTATCAGTACTGGTCATGATGCCAGACCTTAGCTTAAGGAAAATACCTGTTAAGTAAGCAACAGAATCCTATCATATATTCACTAACTTTCTCATTATTTTAAGGTGGCAGTCAAGGCTTTTTAAAAATCAGAGCTAAGTCTATTAAATAGTGTTTTAGAGGTTAAGGTGCTTGCTTATGATTATGGTAACATAGATTTGAGTTTTTTATGTCCCTAGTCCACTATAGGAACTTGAATAAGCATTATGTATCTATGTGAGTGCTCTAGTGTCTCTGGTGCTTTCTATTGTGGAAAATGTGTCTCAGAATCTCATGGTGTATAGTCTCACTTGAAATTAATTGGAGCAGCAAGGCAAAAAAAGAATGGTAGCAGAACTTGGAGTGTACAATGCTCACCTGGTTAAAAGTTGAATACACTCTGCACCTTGTTCAATTATTTATAGAAAATAGAAAGATTTTGTATTTTGCAAATTGAAATACTTATATTGATATTAAAATACACTGAGAAAGGGATTCAGCAGCTCTTGCTTTACCAAAATTGGAGCATAATCCTTTAGTCCAACAACAGTTAAGACCTAACTTAGGAGAGCCCTTCTGTAGAACAAGACATGACCTGGTCTTTTTGAGAGTAAGATGCAATATCCACTCTTTCGTATGAATAGACATAAAGAAGAACAACCATTAATTTTGGAAGATAATGATTGCACACTGTATGAACCTAGGAAATAGTCAGTTCTTCACATGAAAATTTGTCCAGTTTGTAGTTTTGTATTCTATACCTCAATGGAAAGGGTATCACCAATAAAAATATAATTGCAAAGAATAAATTTTCAACCGTGTAAAAAAAGAGTAACCAATTCAGTTAATATGTTTTGTGTTGACAACAGGAATGTTTTGGCCTTAACTGTATTACTTGAGAAACGAGGATCTTAAATGTAAGGTTCTACTCTGTCATATATATTAAAATCAAGAATTGCATGACTAAGGTTCTTTGAAAAATAGCAATGAACTTTTAAGTAGCACATGTGAATGTTTAATAAATGTAAGTTACTTGTTTGCCCAGTCCATTTATTTAAGCATAAATTAGGTTTCATAATTTCTAATTCATAGAAAATACATTGTTTTAATAAGTTTTAAGCAGTAGAAGAATGCCTTTAATTGGAAAACCAAATCTTGCTACCAAAATAAAGATCCCTTAGTTTGGAGTACTTCCAGGTTAACGTGTTATGAAGAAGTTCACAGTGAAATTTGCAGTGAATACTGCAAATCAATACAGTGAAGGGTTAATTGTGAAAACTGATATGTTTTATTTTCTTATAAATCAAGAGGTTGATAAAATGTACACTTACTGTTGATCATTAGAATACAAAACTATCTGTTAAAATCAATTAACATGCATATCTGATGACTGATTGTATAAATATGAAAGTCAAATAATTGTAATCGTTAACCATGGCTTCAGGTCATATGAGTTGTCAGCTCAAAAAAACTAGAGGAGAAAGAGGTTGATTTGCATATATTTAATGTGGCATGCGGTACATGTGGGAATTGAGATAAACCTTTGCTAGTAATCTGCTTGTTTTTATCTAAAAATCGACTAGGAAACTTGGGTTATAACAGTGAAGTGATCTATGTTTTTTATTGATAGCAGTAGATTCAGTAGTTTGGGATTTAAAAAATCGACTAGTTTTAATTGGGTTATAAATTGTTTTTTGATCTATGTTTTTTATTGATAGCAGTTGATTCAGTAGTTTGGGATTTAACATTTTACTGTGTTTTAATATTTTAAAATTGATTTTTTATTAAGAGACAATTGGAAGAAGGTGGTTAAAAAGTTATTCAGAAATACTCAAAGTTCTTACCAGAAACAGACTCAAAATTATCCTCTAACAGATTGTGAGACTGAGTTACTTTTACAGTTTTTAGTTACACTTATCAATATGTATAGCAAACACTTTTTTTTACTTTTTATTATTAAAAATAAATCAGAGATATGTTAACAATTTTAGTGAAGTACTGTACTGAGTCACAAAACTATCTTTCTATGTGTAGTGGACCAAACAGTTAATTTTTAATTGAATTTATCATTTGTAATAAATACAGGGAGGGATTTGTGGCAGAAGAATGAGTCTTCTGACCTGGAAAGGATTTATGCATTATTTAAGTTCCTGAATGTAATAATCCATTGCAAGGATGGTTTGTTTTGTTTTGTTTTTTTTCATTGATAATGCAAAATACTTTGTGTAACTTCTAATAATTCCAAGAATCCTTGAAAAGTGAGTCAGAATATAGTGGTCAGTACCTTACATTAACTATAATTCAGTTAATTAGGTCTGTCCAGCCTTTCTCTTTTCCCTTTTACTCTCGAACATTAAAAAAAATCCTAAATTAAATCCAGTTCCTTGCATTATCACCCAAATTAACTTGACTGCCAACAACATGGCCTCCTCTGAGTAGCACTCAGCTTCTTGGATTGGGCAGAGTACAGAATGTACATAATTACTTGATCTTTGCTGTTCTTGCTCTGTGAAGTACACCTGAATGACAATGCCTTTTGCTTTAGTGTTCTCTTGACAAATCTTTCTCATGATCTGTTGCATAAAGGCACCTAAACAATGTTGGAGGGTTGGGGGGAAAAGGACCAACTAGTAGAAGAGAGGGATGGAATCAAATTCAGTTTCTGTCCTTTGCCTCTTGTGTAGGATGGAATTTGCATGTGATTGCAAGAGAGAGAAAGTTGGCAGTATCCCAGGTCATTGGCTATTTTGTGTCCTTTCTTAAAATGATTTACATGACTTATTTGATCAGGGAATTATGACCATCTAACTTAGACAGAAGTAGTTGTGTGATGAGGTGAGTTCTGTAACCACAGATTAGAAACGCAAATTAAACATGAAAGTAATTAAAAACGAAATAAATTTTAAAAGGAAGAAAAAATGTATGTGTCAGGTGTCACTAACTGTAATTACAGTTTTAGTTCCACTGCAACTCACTGGTGAAAAATCGCTTTGCTACCAGAGGTTCCAAAGCTGCAGATGAATGATCTATGACTAAGTGGTTCTCCCTATAGAAGGTCTGATTCGAGAACCTCAGGATCATTCCTGAGCCATTATATGTCCCAGTAATCCTCAAAATCTTTCAATGTGTGACAGCATAGACTGCTTTTACAAGGACCCATGGCTTTTGAAAAGAAGCATTTGGGATATATATGATTTGTTTAGGGGGTGGATGGGATTCACAGATGTGGTGTGGGAACGAATTGTCATTTTCAAACAGAAATCTGTGCACTAAAAGAGAATACCTTAATAAAAAAAAGTCTCATTTGTCCCACTTCAGAAACACATACTGTGAGAAGAAAGTGCTTCATGTTCCTTAAAATATAGAAGTTTTTGTACTTTAGTGTCTTGGGGCTTGCAGTGTTATTAGCTCAAAGGGGAGGTATGCTTTTTCATGATGACTATATTTAGCCAGGAGGAATAGTCCTTTTTAAAGCAAATTGAAATGAGTGTATGAGAGCGTGAAATTATCAGCAGCGCTGGTGCGCATTTACATTACTTCTACATAGTCTTTTGAATGACCACACAACAGAACAAGTACTTCATTTCCACTGTGTTGATTTTTCTTGACAAAACATGGCAGTCTATCCAAAGGAGGGTGTTTAGCCAAGATAAATATAAAATTTATGATTAAGCAAAGTGTTTCCTTATTATAATCCCTAAAGAGACTTTGAGACTTGTTAAATATAACGTGCCCAGGTAGTTTTAAGAGTAAATTATCCTTTATGCTTTTAAATGCTGAAATACAGCAACACCATGAGCAATTTGAGATATTACTTGCAGAAACAACACTGCATACTGATTTCATTCTAAACAAGTAGCAAAATCTGTGCATATATACAATATATAACCTCAAGTTTGATGTATTCCTTCAGTTGTACAGTCCAGTCTAGAGAAGAATCCATGTCAGTAGCACGGTTTTTAAAACTGTCTCACTCTTTCCTGCATGTAATGTGTGTTATGGAAGAAAGCAAATAAACCTTTTTGACAGAATGGATAAAAATTGATAACATGATTACACTTCTGGCACATTTCTTCAACTGTTGTATTTACAGAATACCACTTTGAAGAAAGCTATGGCGACTGTCAATATTATTTATTAAAATAAAAGGTGAATGAAAATTGATTCAGGAGAAGAGTGGATTTTGACCTTTGTGGTACCAGTGTTGGTTTTGGAGTGCAATATTCTAATTAAATTGTGAATGTACTTAGTGGATATTAAATGATCTCACTGTATTCTTTCAAGGACTATGAACTTCCAAAATCAAGGATAACATTAGATGTCAGCCAAGTATTTTGTCCTTCTCGTGGTTTGTCTTTACATCTGAATTAGTGCCAGTTTGCACAGATTGTGTGTCAGCTTAAATACAAGAAACAGGCCTCAGTCTGCTTGAACTCGTTCCACCAAAGACTTCTAAAAACTTTCGGTAGTCTGCAAACTGTAATGGTTGTTTCACATTAAGTTGCTTTGTAGAATTATAAAACAGCTTTTCGTGTGCTTTCAAATAAAATGTTGTCATCTGCTAATGAATGAGATACCATCTGTAATAATTAAGGTTATTCTACTTGTTTTCCCCCTGCAGCAAAACTTCTGAAGGTTTGCAGAAGACAATAAGAGAACCACCAAGAAGGCTATTGCAGTGTGGTAAGTACTGCACCCAAGAAAAGAAAAAGAAATATATGAATTAAGAATGTTGTAAAGAGATTTTCATTTTTGGGGGGGAAAACGAGCTACATAAAGGGATTACGTGTAAAATACGGAGCAGGATGTATTGTAGCAATCAAGTTAATAATTTACAAGGGAAAAACTGCACTCTTGTAAAATCTAAAATTGTATCCTTGTGCATTGTAATCAGGAATTCACCAATAGCAGTGAAAAATATTACTCTATCCACCAAAGATTGATCTAGTTTATATACATTTGTTTATTTAAAACTATCAGAATTTAGAAAATCATTGCAGTTTTGTAGGTTTGTCATTTGTTTTAGTGACTTATTGTTTAGGTTATTTTGCAGAATTATTTATTTGCTGATTTATTTATGTATTTCATTATTTATTTATTTGATTATTTAGTAAATTATTTATCTGATGAATTATTAATACATCTTCATGACATGCTTTAAATTATTTATAACTTAATTTTGAGTTTATTGCTTTTCGACGCTGCATTGTTACTGACTAGTTTTGATTTTTTTTTCTTGGTTCTTGAAAATTAAAGTACTAGCTCTAAGGCAAAAGTATATTCTTTGCAGAATCCATAGACGGTTTTCAATGAAGTAATTTACCATGTAGATACTAATTTTGTTTAGTTTTATATTGTTTAATACCACTTTTCTACTTATTTAGCTTTTGCTCCTATGATTTCATAGGCATGTCAAGATCAAATGAGTGACCTTTAAGGGTCAAATATAAATGTTTACTTTAAAACATGTAAAAACAGAGTAGTTTTATTTTCCCCTTAGTAAGTACTCTTTAATTATTCTTAAGTTATCTTGAGATATTTTTGTCCAAATAAAATGGATGTTTTTAAAAAGAGACTCTTGATATTTGAACTAATACATTTAATTTCTAATAAGAAAATAAAATATTCACATTAATAACTCATATGGAGAGTTCTTTCTTAGTGGCAAGGTTTTAAATACATGGGGAGGAATGGTGACATCTTTAGACACATGCAGAAGGAGATACGTGTCGAGGGGGGAAAGGTGGATGGTAGGGGTTTTTTCCCCATGGTGTTTTTTGCATGCATAGGAATTTATAGGCTCTGAAAATTCAGCGTCTGTGTTGTTGTATGTAAACTACTTTCAGGTTCTGTGATCTCAAAGAATCATTTCTAGTGCACAACACAGTGTGAAACCTGTTTTTGTGTTCCTTTTGCCAATCAAAAAGGTCAAAAATGTCACATTTTACTCTATAGAGTCTTCAGTGACTGTATAAAAGCAGTGTAAGGGGTCAGTTTTTTAGGCTTTACATATGAGCACCAGCTCAACAGAGTTTAAAATTGGTGCCTGGAATCACAGTGTGACTCGTCCATTCTGACTGATGGGCTTTTGAGAACGGATGAGCCGCCTTGTTCCCTAAGTTGTCTATTTGGCCTCAGTTCCCAATGAGTAACTCGTCAGGCACTCGGAAGCCACCTTGCAGGAGAGGGCTATAACTGACAGCCCTGTTTCAGAGCTGTAATGAATAGGGCAAAGCAGCAGTTCCTCTGCAAAAGTGCCGTGTGCATAATGTGGCCTTTATTCTGTGTTTAGTGCTTGAAATGAATTACTATATACTTTAAAGTTTTAACACAGCATGGAAAGGCTGCATTGTACATTTCAAGTTTCAGTGCTGTTGAAATACAGTAGAAATGGCCTCTGTAGACAGGTTTCACTATAGAACTTAAATTATGCATGTGTATATCCAAATTCCTTATTTTGAAATATTGAATGTATGAATATTTAATTTGTATCTTGCTTTAGTATCTTCATATGCTTGCCTTAAAGGAAGCTGTTTCCTTTGATTTATATACATGGATAAAAATGTGTGTACAGTATGTATCAATGGTTTTTCTCTCTATGGTGTTAGATGAACAGCTTTAGATAATGATAGCTACTGATCTTTGTTCTGCAGCTTGCTACCGTTGTATAAAACGTAAATTTGTCATATTTGTTCTATTAATTTTACTTGAATTTCAAATTCAATTGCTTTTCAGAAATATTTTCTTAATTACATGCGTCAAATATGTTGCAGATCTTAATGATGCAGTATTTTTGGTCTGTGCACAGTAACAAAGCTCTGAATGTTATTATTTGGGGCAGAGTTCCAATCTGAAATTTACATTTCTCCTTATTTGAATGTTTTCACTGAAGCTGAGAACTCCAAGGGAGTTCCTCAACATATACTAGTTTATGCAACATGCTCTATGAAATTTAGTACACTCTTATTTCCTTTTGTAAATGAGGTCTTATTGTTGAATAAGACCTATTATAAGCAGTTACAAAGGTAAGTGCTGTCAGTGCATTCTGCCACCAGTTTCTTGGAGTATGAAACACTCCCTGAAAGACGTGCTACTACTGTTATGGGGTAATATAACGCAGCTTATGTGTTGGCACTGAAAGTAGCTACTTCATAATGATGACAAGTGAAAGTACAGCCAAAGGTCACATTAAACAAGAGATTTCTTTCACACCTCATCCATTTTCTGGATGTGGTATGAAAATAGCTTTGTTCCCTGCACTTCAGTATTTTTAAAAAAGAAGTTATCATTAAAGAGGTTTTTTTATGCCTTGTATATTACTTAGTTGATGTTTTAGGAGATAGACTATGGAATCCTAGCATGCTAAATTGATGCTACAAAAGTGTTTGAAATTAGCTTAAATTTTGGTTGCAGTTAGACAGCACGAGTACATTTCACTACATTTTTTGGTTTGCAGATTTGCTTAAATACATAGCTTTGAGTTCTGGAAAAAGAACTACTGATGTGTGTTGTGGCTTAACTCAGCTGGCAGCTAAGTATTGTAGCCACTTGCTCGCTCCCCTCTCTGCCCTGATAGGATGGGGAGGAGAATTGAAAAAAGGTAAAACCCATGAGATAAGAACAGTTTAATAGTTGAAATAAAGTAAAATATAATAATGATGCTAATGATTATGATAGTAACATAATAATGAGAAGGGGGACAGCAAAAAGAGAGGAGGAATGAAATCCAAGACAAGGTAATGCACAATAAAATAGCTCAGCAGATGCTGACTAATGCCCAGCCTGTCCTGAGCAGAGATCAGTCCCTCCGGGCTAACTTCCTCCAGTTTTTATACTGGGCATGACATTCGGTATGGAATATCCCTTTGGCCAGTTTGGGTCAACTGTCCTGGCCATGCTCCCTCATGGCTTCTTGTGCACCTCCTCGCTGGCAGAGCATGAGACACTGAAAAGCCCTTGACTTAGAGTAAGTACTGCTTAACAACAACTAAATCAGTATCTTATCAACATTATTTGCATCCTAAATCCAAAATGCAGCACTGTACCAGCTACTAAGGAAGAAAATGAACTCTAATCCAGCCAAAACCAGACAGTGTGCAAAGTGGTATTTATATTAGTGTTGCTTGACTATGGGTTTATTCTTCTTTTCGTATCAATTAAAAAGAAAGATACAGATTTATTTTTTTTTTTTCTGAATTAGGGTCTGTTCAGAAATAGGAAAAGAGTGAACCTGTCTGTGTTGACAGACAGTTTCTTAGCTCTGCTTTAAAGAAATCTTAACAGTATTGTGAAAGGATGATTTACACTGAAAATGGCTGACCAGGATGCTAAAATAAGGTGTCATTTAAGAAAAATGATTAGTAAGTATTAGATAATGAAAATGAAGCTGACTTGTTTCACAGAGGGTGCTGAACAGTTAGGAGATACTGGTTGGGAAGCCTAAATCTGGTATATTATTGGTAGGTGTATTTCTGTTCTAATCTAACTCCATAGAAATCACAGAAGCCATATTAAGCTCTTCTTCAATTTATGTCATACAGATAAAAGAATTTGCATCTCATGAGTCACATATTTCCTGTTGTATCTTTAATACAGCCATTTTTAGTATTTTTCTTGCCTCTTTCCTCTATTGGTATGCTTGGAGAGTCTGTGTGTAGGAGCTTGTTATTTCACCCGTGAGGCAAGGAGGAGTTCAAATCAATAGCAGCGTGTTGTTGACACTAAATGATGTTTCTTCTTGCCACAATAAGACTTGATTTTGTCATTCTAATGATGCTAGCTTGCTTCACAGAATAGGGATCAGCACTCTCTCAAACTTTACAAGTTTAAAAAAAAATTCCTTTGAAGGAAATACTAGAGAAATACTCCAGTATTTGTAACCAAACATGCGTTGGCTTTGTAAAATGAATATTCAAGTCCTGTTTCACTTCCTAGGGTAGGTGCTTTGCAAGGCATTTTGGAAATCTATGTTAGAAGATGTTGGATTGATCAGAACTGATGAAAGTATGATATTTTGAAAAGAAATGTTGCAATCATTATTTAAAATATAAGTTCCCATAAAATATGGATGGTAGTAAGACTTTAGCTGAAAAACCCTAACAAAACAAAAAGCCTCAAGCTAGTAGAAGTTATGTGTGTTTCACAGAAAAATCTTTGCAGCACTGCCTAGAAAGAGAATCTCTGCAAGAGGAAATAGGTACAGCCAACAAGACATTACCAGGCCTGTCTGTGATTGCACTCTATAGCATGGTCCAAAAGGAATAAGCAGTTGTTCTCCACTCAAACTAAGGATCCCACAGGGAGACAGGAGCTGTAGAAAGATGTGAATTTGAGAGGAGATAGTGTAATGATAGTAAGCAATAGTATGATGATAGGAGCTTATGGGCATAATGTTGGTACCAGCTGTAGGTTATTAAGAAACATGGGGTCTTTTGTACTGGACATCTGAAAGCGTTAACAGAGATGAATCATTCTATTATATTATCAAAATATCTTCTCCTTAAAACAATGTGTTTGTGCATTCATATTTATATCTTTCATGGTAGGAAATATGTTACTTTTTTATCTGAAAGAACTTTAAAAGTTATGGCTGCATGATTAAACGCTCACGTTGTAAGTTGTGAATTGTTCTGTTTGCACTGTTTTCATTGTTTTGTATTTTTATGCAAAACATGGGTTCTCAG